TAAAATAAAAAGTAATATTATATAAGGAAAGTTTAAGGAAAAAATATTTTTCTTAAACTTTCCTTATAGTTAGTAATTATTTTTTCAAGTGGTAAACCTATTATTAGTAATCCACAGACTTTTAAAAATTGTTTTTTGCAGCATTGACTCAATATCTTAATATAACTGATAAAAATTAAAAATTTTATAAATAAGTAACATTTAAAGCTGATTTCAAAATAATGCAAAGGTAGAATTTACTTTTATATTATTTGAAATATTAACTTAGTAAGACTTTTTACAGTTCAAAGATCAGAATTCAACAGTGCAAAATTCAAAATGCAATATTTTAAACGTTAAAACATCAAATTCTTCTAAGTATGCAAATATTGATTTTTGCTTCTTAAAAATTACTTGAGGAGAATGAAATTATATGATTCAACATCTTCCTTTTTTTTATATATCATAACAAATGATAACATTGTAAAAATATGGTTATATTATAACTGATATAGTTATGAGATACTCGTAAATTATAAATAGAGTAAAGTTTTTTTGATTCACTTAACACAAGATGTGTTACAATTTCCACACTTGGCGATATTCCATCTTTATTTAGTTGATATGGTACAATTGCAAGTACGATAACACATTTCGGGCACTGCCTCTCCTCAGTCAATGTGAGAGTTGTTCTTGATAACTTTAAATTTATTTTTATAGTATATATCTTGTGTTAAGCACATCTTGTGTATATATATTGTGTATCTAGTATATTCTTAAGTAAATGAAAGAAATTAGAAAACACGGTTTCAGAAGATTAAAAACAGTAGAAGTTTATTAATTTGCTACCCAATAATCCAGCACACACTGAAAAATAGCTGAAATTTCAGAACTTCCCAATAACAACATGGCATGCTAATAATCTTTGAACTGGAATTTTTTTGAACATGTGGTGTGCTAAAGATCCACTATGTAAAGAAAGCTCAGAGAGTCCAAAAATAACTTTGTCAAGACAGTCTTTTAAGAAAGATAAATTTCACATAGTAAAAAATTAAAGTTTCACATATTTCAATACATGTTAAATCCCTTTTATAATCATATGAAGCTATCATATTCTCCAAATCTATCATCATCATATCAACTAGTAGCCATTACACAGTTCTTATTTTTACAACAGTGCAATGAAACATCAAAAATCAGGACTAATTGGGATGGGACCCCATCCAGATTTCCAGAAATGTGTGTTTAATTTAGCATTTTATGTATCGTAAATTCCAAATATACCATAATTCAAGTTAGATGTTTTAACTTCAAGGTATACTTACAAGATTTTTTAAATAGGTGTTCACTTTTTATATCAACATAATCTATATACTATAAAAATAAATTTGAAACAAACAAAAAATCTTTATTCATGTGTGTTAAATTTACATACATGAATAAAGGTTTGATCAGAAGACAAGCAAAACCTTCCACACAGGCTAAAAGAATGCCAACAACAAAGTTACCATCAAAAGTATTAATATCCATTTTTCAGAACCAAATCAAGATTTTTGATGCTTCACTATATTTTGAAAATGATTCAACATTTTTAAAAGATAAATGTTTCAGACAATTTAAGTTTTCCTTGTAAAATTTCTGCAATAAAAATATGCTCAGCTCCAACTCTAGTAAACACACTAATATAAACTTTGTTAGTATTAGTTAGTTATACAAGATATATATATATTGTTGATCTTGTATAACTAATATACAAGATATTATTTATATAAAATCAACAGTTTAATTTTACTCTGAATTTTTTTATTTCAATTTTTATTTAGAAGCTTTTTCAACTAAAAATAATGTTATGGAACAAAATGTATTTATTTTTTATGAAACACGTGTTTTATGTGGCCATTAAAAAAACAAATTTAAAATCTAACAAAAAGAAAAATCTGAAAATAATTACCTGATCTTATTTTTATATTTCCTGAATTTCCAACTGGAAAAGATGAATTGCGGTGCAATGCAGGGCTAAACTGTGGTGGATACTGTAAGATGATTGATGCGGCACACTGGCCTTCGTAAGCCGATGCTAACCAGAGCCAGTCATTGATAGATCTTAAATTGTCGATAGCTGAAGAATAATGTACAAGCGCCTCAACTGGCATTCCGGCTTGAAGTGAAAGATCACCTATGTATTTTTTCATACGTCCTATACATCTTTTCTTATACACCCTTATTCAAAATTAAAACATTAATTTTTAATATACACAAGATATTAATTATAGATCAGAAATTACTATTATTACAACTAGCAAACCTGGAATCCGTATCGAGTCCAACAAAGTCTTTCTTTTCAAAAGGAGCAGTTAATAAAATTACTTTATCCTGTTTTTCGAAGGAACGATCCAGTCTTTTTGATTCTAAAACCCAAAACAATGAAGAGCCGAATTCCATTAAATCCTGTTCTAACTGATCACAATCGTCAATACCCGAATACAAGATACAGTGTGTACTTCTAGATTTTACTGTTAATGGTATCATTAAATTTAGGTATCCCATAGGTGAGGTTTTATTCTCTGACTGAACATGCAAACTATCTGCAGAGGAAATTTCATTCTTTTCTCGTTCATCATCAGAAACATTTTTGTTACTTTCCTTCTTAGTTCTATTCAATTCTAAATCATTAACACATTTACTTTTTCCAACACTATTTGAACACTTTTCTAAATCAGGCACATCTGTACAGTCATTTGTTAGCTGTTTTGAAGTATTATTGCATTCTGATTTATCTTTGACTAAATTGTTAGAAGTCTGGCTGTTAGGATTTACACCGAATATAAGGCAGCGAGAATCGAACAATGTGGAACTGTATTTTTCTTGAATTAAATTATGCTGTCTGTGCAGTTCTTCAATTTCTGAAGAATTGACACATTTTCCTGTTTATAAAAATTACATTTCAGTATAAAACTATGCATAAATATTAATTTATAACTTTGTATTAATTTCAAAAGTACTCACCTAAACTTAAAAGACCTAAAACTTTGCGATGTGCTTGAAAATCTCCCCATTCATTATTTTCTGTCGGATATGATTTCTTGTATCTTAACCATATTCCTCTGTGATTATTAGATTGATTAGGGTCTTGAATTTTTAAATATTGTACACGCGATATTTGTTCAAATATTTTATTAAAAGTTTTCTGTTTAATTTCAGGACCTGAAAATATAACAAATTTTTTCATGAATTCAATCGGCACAGAGAAAAATCAAGCATTAATAAACAAACTGTGGCATTTAATAGACTAAAGCTGGCATCAAATAATAAATATTGATTACGTTTAAAAAATGTTCATAAAAAGTTGGTGATATATATACCAAATATTTAATAATTTTGATATATGGTTAACATTTTGAGTAAGTTATTAAATGATTAATTAAATAAAATGGCATTGTATAAGTGCTCTATTATTTGTTGTTAATTCTAATTATTATTATAGCTAATATATATGAATCTAAAATAAATTTAAATTTGTAAACTTAATTAAATGTATAAATTAGTAAACATCTAAAAAAAACCTGGAATGGAACTGGAATCTGAAACTCTCACCTTTGGATAATACACTTCCAGTTAAATTATCCAGTTGGCATTCTTCCAAAAAAATATTAATTTTAGATTATTATATAAATTATACGTCGGTCGAAAAATAATAGACACAAATATAGAGGAGAATTCTATTCCAAGTTTCTTTTTTTGCAGATTTTATTAACAAATTAATCATTAGAATTAAAAATAAAATAATGAAAAGGTGTTTCTTACAGTGCTAAATCATCCATATAATTAAATGATAATATTTGAAGACTGTTTAATCCAATACTTCACAGCAAATTACTAAATATTTTATAAGTTAAAAGGTTATATTTTAAAAAACAGTAAAAGTTAAAAACCATAAAAACTTCTTAAAAATCAAACAACCATGAGAAAATATCCTTCTCAGTCTTTACAGATTTTCAAGAAAACATCATGATTTTGATGATAAACTATCAAAATCATGATGTTTGTAATGCAAATATTGCTTGTGATGCTATATTCATTGAAGAGGCCATACTATAACCAAGACAAAATGCATTTGGAGGTAATATTAAATAAAGCTGCTTCTGTTTTAGAAGAAAGTTGTTGTAGTCTATAGTTTTTAATTAAGTCTACTCGAAAATCTTAATGATAATTTAACAATCTGAATAAAAACAAAGCATAAACTCACCAATTTGTTTGACTAAAATTAACAGAGCCTGATGATCTTCTGGTCTCTGACTATAATCTGGATATGTAATCATGTTTATTCTTTCACAGTTTCAGAAATTGTTGAACCAAGACCCTTTAAACACTGAAAATATACATGTTTTTTTGTTATTTAAACAGAAAAGCAAAATTTTTACTCATTATATTATATTACTTTAAAAAATATAATAATTTATACAGCAGTGGAAGGCCAAAGGACCCTGGCATCCTCCAAAGTGAAAATTGGAGGATGCCAACAATTCATTTGTTTATTTTTTGTGTAGTGTCTTCTATTTATATAGTAATTATGAGTTAACAACATAGGATGGGAATTTTATTGAATTTGCATTAAAAGTATTTTTATCTGTTCAATTTGGTTCCTTCCAAAATTAAATCACAAGTGCAACACTGTACTTGGTTTTATTATGGTTATTTTATTATTTTGGTTTTATTATGTATTTGGTTTGTTTTCAAAATGAGATAAAATATGTGATGTCAAAACAGGCAGGTGTGTATGAATGAGTGATGGCATTTGCATGACAGATGGATGTGACTTTGTGGGATACCAGTGACATCTTTGCTATATCTTACCATAAGCCAATTTAAAACTAAAACACCATCCTACAAATGATTGCTTGTTACCTTATTTTTATATATAAAATATTACCAATTTTCTATCCATTATGTATCATCTCTTAAATTTTTTGTAACATATTGCTTAATACATCTACATTTCATTTTGGCATTTTAAGTAAATTAGAATATCAACACAGCAGGATATTAAAACAGCATTTCTCAATTCTCAACACAGTCTGCAAAGAATACACAATAATAATCAAATTGCAACAGTAAAAAAGACATGCTTTTAAGAAAAACAAAGAACTTTTGCCCCAATAAATAGTCTTTTCAGTTAAACAGAACAGAGATAAAGCCTTTGTTTTTGATGGGCTGCAATTTGAAAACCTCATAGGCTTATAAATTCCCCACTGCTGTCTGCCTATCTGTACTTCCTTAACCTTTAGAATGGCATTAGATAGATGGAAGTCAAGACCAGATGTGGAAAGCTTAGGAGGTTCTATTGACTATATATGAACTTCCGGTCTAGACCAGAAGTCATGGAAATACTATTTAAAAATTTTCTCCTGAATGGAGTTACATAGATGACCAGCATGACTGTTGTTTTAGAAAAAGTATGATGTACAGGGACAAGACACTACAAATTTCAGATAAAGAACATATTTTAAATTAAGAATATGATTAAAAATTGCAGCCTGGCATTGTGATGATGTAACAATATATATAACTGCTCATTAAAAGTATGTCTTTGTAACACTGTAATTCGATTATTATTGTAATTACACTAGTAAATGGAACGCAAGAAAATCATTATCTCAAACTCTTTAATGGTGTATGAAAATTATTATAAAATATCCATTTTCATCAAATTTCTCTTATGATTATATCAAATAATTTATTTGGATTATCTACAGACATTGTTATTAATATTAGAGTTTGCATGTGACATATCTTACATTATATTTACTGGATGTTATAATTATAAACACAATGTTAGATGGTATTTGTGCATCCAACTCCATTATATTGTGAAAATGTAGCAAACATGCACACCATTGAAGCTCTCACTTTGTTTTCTCCTGTAGACATCAAAGAATATGCCATCATATTAACAATTAAATAATTAACAGACCATAACTAAAAGCAAAATTGCAAACAGTACCGACATAAAACCAATATGGCTGACAAACACCAATCACATTCTTACATGAACATGCATAATGATAATAATGCATTGACATCAATAAAAGATCAAATATGATTGGTTCTGCAATTTTATGAAATAAACCTCTAAGGTGAGACTTTTCTTATAGTGGTATATTATGTATAAAGTTAAACAAATGTTTTTATATTATAAAATACATTATGCACAAACTCAATATAGAGTTTTTGACTTTAAGCCTTACACAACTATTGGCAGTCCAGATCATATGCATAAATTAGATTTATACATATCAAGAAACTACACACTTATTATGCATGTAAATTTATTTAAAGAATACTATTTTTCTTTTGATGATCAAAGATATATATAAAGTTACATGTTTACTACTACTACATGATAGAAAAATGTAAAAAGAAAGTATTAATCTGTGATATATTATAGAATGAAAATATCTTGAATTTGAGAAACAAAAATTTTAACTATTAGGATTGTATTAAATACTTAAAACATACAAATAAAATTCATACTTCTATTTCTACAGAAACAAAATCATTGTTTACTTTAAAGAAAACCATTACAAGTAAAAGTAATCAAAGAATGTGTACAATATTTGTCTCTAGCTATCACTTTCAGTAAATGAACTCAATAAAAAACAACCAAGTTTCTGACAATATCACAGTTTTATCATATGAAATAATTGTTGTTTTTCGTTTGTAGATATTGAATGTACTAATATTGTGAATAATTCTCTTCCACACTTCAATATTTAATAAATGATCTAATTAAAATCTCTTTTTACTTCAGCATTATTAATTCAACATTCTATGCATTCACTTTCCTGATTTGGTTTCATTTTCACAACTCAGATATCTTTTCTGTCACCAACCCTCCCTTTTTCTGGCCTTGGGATCAGCTGGAGCCATTGGTGCTAACTACACAATGGCACCAGGCAATTCCTACAGTTCTAATAATTAAAAATGCATCATAAGCAAGCTTATATGATGGCCTGGTAACTTCTCAAAGTTCTTTTATTTGCTTAGGCCTACATGTATCCAAAATATCACATCTAGTTTGTTCTATCATCACAATGGCAATTTATATTTATCAAATCAAGTAGAAAACTAAGATGCACTGCCTATCTTTAAACTTGTCATCTATTTTATGACAATGGTATCTTTGATAATGCTTAGTTTCAACCTAATTCATAAGTTTCTGAACAAATTCTCTATATTTTATTAACACAGAAAAGCAGTGAAAATGTTCATTTAAAATTTTTATTACTACATGAAATACTAATATAATGAAATAGATTATAATTTTTATATATGATACTAAAAATTCCCCTCTCAAGAAGACAAACTACTTCCTAAGAGAAAGTTAAATGTCACATAGTCACCATGGAAAGTTTTAAAAAATCTGTTGTAAAAGCAACACAATACAGTTATTATTAATGCAATTTAAGATAAACGATGTCACTAATGTCATTGCAACACAAGTGACATCACTTACAATGTAACTGAGCTGAAATAGATAAAACATTTTTATATACATAGCTAATATTTCTGTAAATTAAGTATCCTATACTTTCCATCAAAATATAAAGAACATAAAAATTTAATCTGAAGTGGACAAAAAATAACAGGAGTTATAGAACATTCAAACACAGTTGATGGCTTTTATATTAATATTACAACATTTCAATTATAAAAACGGCTCTCAAATGACTTTCAAACTTTTTCAATAATCAATAATAGTTACTATAATAAAATTAGTTATCACTTCATGCCAACTTTGTAATTAAAGCCACAATACATAAGTGATTTTACAATAATAATTACTAATATAAAAGCCATCATGTGCATACTTGTGTGCATGTGAATTCCTTATAACTTCTGCAATTTCTGTCCAATCCAGATGAAATTTTAGTTATATTCATTTTATGTTCTGACAGAAAGTATAGTCTACTTATTTTGTGAAAATATTAGCTACAGAATAAACAGTTTATCAATTTTGGATCAGTGATCGCATTTACATTGCAGTGGCGTCAGTGACTATGTGATGTTCATGCTTGATGAAGAAATTTCCCTAAAGTTGCATTTTTAAATATTTTGGCAAATGGCCTATTTTAAACTTACTTCACTAAATTAAAAATTTAAATTTTAAAAATGATAGCCGCATTGTGTCACTTCTATAAAAAATTTTTTAGAAAACCTTTCCATAGTGACCGCATGTCATTCTATTATCCAATCAGAAGTGACAATATAACAAGCCTGTTATTTAAAAAGTGTTATCGCTCATCTAATTAACATACATACAATTCATCTTTGTTTTATCAATGTGAAATTAAAAAGACTAGCTATTTTGTCAGGAAAAGAGAATGCCTAGGGGAAAGCATAAGAATAAAATTAGTCAGGTAAATTCTAGATCTAAAAGAATAAGAACAATTGAGTTCCCTGAAGACAGTGAAGTCTGACTTGAGCAATGTCGAGTAAGAATGGCTTTGTCAAGGGCTGCAGATATGGCATCATATCATCAAGCTCAACTTGAAGCTCTTCTCAATTCTTTAATCTCTACTTTCTCATTAAAAATATTCCATCATGCTTGATGGGAGAATTTCTAATATGTCAAATATTATTTTACTACATAATTTCTGTCTGATTAATTTGGCTGATGGTTGGATGATTATTTTTTGATTTTAAATATTCCACTGTCCAGAAGGTTTGTTTACAAAGATATATAGAAGCAATAATAGAAAATAACCCCACTGAAAACTTCTCAAGACTTAAAATTCTCCTCTGGCAGGGATTTGTAAAGGAAAAAACCAAACTCCCTTTTATACATTGGTTTTTATAAAATAATTTCTAGCAAGATCTATTTAATCCTAGTTGACTTCTTGAAAGATTATATGGTTTGAATTAGTTCAAGTAATAAAACATGGTAATTAAAACAAGCTACACAAGACTGTATAAATATGTTTCAGGGAATGATATCTGGTCCACAGGCCATAATTTGGAGACCCATGGGACAAAATCAGTGTTCTCTAATTGTAGTCTTTCTTACTCACCTCACTTAATGTTATCAATTGGTAATTGTGATCATCATCAATATGAACAAGTCTCAAAGTAATTACAATAAGCAGATTCTACTGTTGTTGAAATTTAAATTTTTCCATAACTTTATCCTTCATTTCCAACTAAAACTTGCAACTACATATGATAAGTTTTCATAACACAAGAACTTTTTTCATAAAAATTAACACTTAACACTAAGACCAAGTAAGTTATCACTCTTCACTGGTGACACTTGATAATAACATCAATTCTGTGTGTTAACAAGCAATTATTTATTGTGACATCACCACAATGCCAAGTTGCAATTTTTAATCATATTTTTAATTTACTTAATTTAAAATATATGCTTTCCACCTCAAATTAGTAGTGACTTGCTCCTGTACATCATACTTTTCCTTTAACAATAGAGTCATGCCAGTCATCTATTAACTACTTTCAGGGGAAAAGTTTTGAATTGAAATAATGTAACTTCCAATCTGTATCAGAAGTTTGTATATAGCAAATCGGGTCTCTTGCCCAAGGTTTCCATATCTGGTATTGGATTTTATCTAACTAACTCCATTCTTGAGATTAAGGAGAGATAGCTGGACGGATGACAATGGGAATTTATAGGCCTATAATTTTTTCAAATTGCAGCCCAATAAAGAATATAACCCTTTTTCCAAGGTACCACTACAAACCACCAAAGGTGAATGTCAGTAACTCAAAAGTAGCCACCAAATAGGCAGTACTTTTTTAAATTAAAATTTAACTACAAATAGAAATAGTTGCTATTGGGACACACAATACATATGTGAATTTGCACATTAATACCTTTATGAAAATTCCACAGTTTAGACTAGCATAACCACCTTACTGCAAAACTCATTATTTTGGTAACTTGTTGCCTTCTCAGTCCACATTAAGTTTGCAGAATTACCGCATCCCTGTTTGATGATGTCTGGTGGGCTATATAGCAGTCTACACTCAACCAAATTTTATATGCTGATGCTACTGGATATATGGAAAATATTTCAAGAAAAAAGTTTAGTTCTTCAACACTATGAAACTTTTTCTGTTGCAAGTGACAAAAAGAAATTCAGCACAATTTCTTAAAAAGGTGACTTAACTTTTAAAGCACACTTGCAGCATCAGCACTGTTTTCATTAAACAGCTTTAGAATAAAAACATATTCAAGCAATCATGACCATTGCTGCAGATCTGCAGTAATATAAACAATGTTTCACATGCCATTGGCAGTTTAAACTAGAAACTGATTATAGTATATGTGCATTATGCATTTGTTACTTTTTAGATATAACCAATGATCACCTGAATAATCAGGCTAGAATTTGGCTAATTAAATGATTACTATAAAGCAATTTGTTTCTAGAGGGAGGCATTAGGTGCCATCTCTTGATTAAATTAATAATTAGAATTTTAATAATTTATTAAATAATTTAGAACCTTCTGGAATAAAAGAACTGATTCAGGGCTGGGCTTGAACCTGTAACCTCCGCTTGCCATGCAGTGCACTTGCACCACCCAGACCCCGAGCAAGTCTTCGCTTCCAGAGGTATTTAAATTTGGATATACCTTTATTTTTCACGTGATCATTGGTTGTATCTATTTATAATCATCAGGATGCTTATTATATATATTGTTACTTTTTTGACTACTCGAGACGTCCCAAGTCATGTAGTAATGAATTTTGAAACTAAATTTTTTTCTTGTGAAAATTGTTCTCATATCCAGAAACATCAGCATACAAAATATGGTTGAATTTGGACAGCTACATATCTCTGAAGACAGCATTGATTAGGGATAATTTAATTGCAATCACCTGATACAATTATAGGGAGTTTATTTTTATATGGTATGAAGCAGATAACTGATAGTTTATGTTGCAAAAAACTACAGCAGATGAACATCAAAGTTTACTTAATGTCACAATTATGATATTAATACAAGAAATCATTTTGCAGTATATGTTATTTACCTTAGGACTTTACCTGAATAGTTACCAAATCATAAAATTGATAGAGGAAAATTATGTTAGACAAAGATGTTTAAAAGATAACAACAGTAGCATAAAACTAATTTTTACATACAAAAACTATTACGACTACAACTGTTTAAGGGCCTGGACAGACAAGCCACTTTGTGGTGCAACAAAGTGGCAGGTTTGAACAACATTGCACCACAGAGTAGTGCATCAGCCTGATGTGAAAGAAGCTCAAAAGTGCCACAAGGCAGAAGAGAAAATGATGCATTTTCATTATAATCATGGATGCCAATTGCTATTCCAAATACCAAGCTGAACTTCAGCTTCTACAATGAATCTATCGGTATCAGATGACATTCATTGAACAAAGGGAAAGCTTCTTTGTAAACTAAAGTATCCAATCAAACTGAGTGACCAGGTAGTGTGGCTCTTGTGAATGCCTGTAATGACAGTGATGCCACTTAGTAGCAGAGTTTCACTTCTACCTGTCATTGTGTATTTCATTATACAGAGAAAAAAAATGTTTGCCACTTTGTCACATATCTTTGTTGAACCACAAAGTGGCTCATCTGTCCAGGCCCTAAGAATTGAATATGATATTCCAATAATTTCTGAGTATTTGTTTTCAATTGCTTTGTATTGATTAGCAGAAAATGAGTCATGTATCTTAAAAGGTGTTATAAATTTCAATAAATAGAAAAAAAAAACAAAAACTAAAATATATTTTTGCTAGGGATTTTGATGACTCTTCAGTTCTACATTTTTCCTGACTCTCTTTGCCCTTTTCCATACCCATCAAAAATTGTGCCAGAAAATTATTTTAAATCAATTCAATTTCAGAAAGTTATATACGTGTTAGGTTAAAACATTTGTATGATTTTTTATTTGCTTTATTTATTAACAATCAGCAACTCAATTATATTTACAACTTATCAAAGCTAATAAACTAAGTTACTAGATTATATCTAGATTTTATATATACAGTAGATCCCCCTATAAGACGGTAGATACGTTCCGTTCTTTATGAATCAATTTTGTAGGAATCATAGTTTACGGACTACGGCTGTTTGAAAGGTTTTCTTTCATAAAATTAATCGATTCTAGACTAATTCGACTNCTTTTTGATCCAATAACTGCATGCCAAATTCTCAGTTTTCTGTAGGTGCTGTATTGCTTTCACCTTCTAACAACAATCATTTAATCTATTTACAATGTATTTATAAGCCAACAAACATGGAATATCATCAATTATCAAAACAACCCGTACTAATGATAAGTGACAATCTCACCTTATTATTGTTTATAAACTTTTTCAATTCAAACAAAATTTTATAAACAGTTAAATGATTAGTATAGGTATCTCTTGCTTAACATGCAAAATATGTAGCAGAAATTTTAATTAACACAGCTTTAACAGCTGTCTTTACTTAACATAAATATTTTTTTTGTTAAATAAGGTGTTAGTGAGTTTGCTATTTTCATTTATTAGAAAAAAAATATTTGTTATTAACCGAAATGTTTTCTAGTGGGTGGTGATTGTTTGGTCGAGTACCCAGGTACCTCCGTATTTGATTAATGCAATTTTGATATACACAGTAACATCGAGGGATTAATTAACCACATTAATCAAGGGATACCTGTATTACTGACTATATTACTTATAACAATAAGTTATTTCTACATTATTTCCCAGAATAAGAATAATGAAACTTTGTGTACTGGATCTTTAACACGTTTCATTTTTCCTCCATGACTAAGCCACAATGGTTTTACAAAATATGACATTTTGATTTTTGAAAATTCAAACATCACATTATATGATACACAAATTTTTTGGTTAAAGTGTACCTAGGTCCTAGGTAACCCCAATGGTGGCACTTCCGACGTGTTCATTTATTTTCTTTTTAAAATAATTGAGTTTGACTATCAACTTCAAAACATTAAAACTATCAAATAATTCACTACAGTGTGCACATTGAAAGAGTAGACATAGTAAACCTGAGCTGGAAGGGTCTATGTCAAATGAAAGGAATGGAAGGAAACATGTAAACTGACACATGGATCACAGTAATAAACATTGTAAATAAAAAAAAAAGTAAACTAATAAAATCATTTATGTATAGTATAAAAATGTTTTAAAAATATAAAAACAAAACAGCTGAAAGAGATCAGATCCATGCATCAACTCTCAAGTCTCCTTCCATCAGACAGACCCTTCTAGCTTGGGTTGACTCATGTCTACTCTTTCATTGCATGGACTATGTATTTTAACACATTAACCACCNTCTAAGTGACTCGTACAACATGGAATTCATATAAAACGGAATTATCAACAGTGTTATAGGGGGTCGACTGTATGCAGTATGTGAGTTGATATATGAAAATATTTCTGAATTATCTAAAAATTACTGATTTAATATTGTAATTTTTCCTTTATAAACTTTAAATGTTCTTCTATTTTCTGTTTATCTTATTTAATTCACATAATAAAACTAAAATTCATAATTTAATAAATTCCTTTGGCCAATATAATTGATGATGACTTATCAAATACTTAAAAGTGAAAGTTTAAGAAGGAATTTTATATATTTACCATCTTATAAATCTGTATAACGTTCAATAATTCAAAAAGAATTCACGATTTAAATATTTAAAAGCATTTCACGGCATTACTTTATACAAATTAAACAACTTCGCAACTCTTAAAACCATCTTCTGAAACATTGTCACATCCCCTCGTGCCCCCTGGCGATTAGAAATGGAAAATTTGGAAACATGACCGAAATATTAAATTTTACTGATAGAGATTAGCTCCATCATTAAAAATAATTTTTGCATTTCCTGGGCCACTCTCTTTTTCTATACATTTATATTCTTTTCATGTCAGAAAAATCAAATTTTCTCTTTGAATCAATTTTTTAAAAACATTTATGCTAATTAATTCATATGCCTCTATGTCCTTATTTTCTACAATTTGTTAAATGTTTGTGTACCAGTACTAAGTTTATTAATAGGATGTATTGCACTGGTGTTTTGGTTTTTGCAACTGAGGAAAAAAACTTATTCAGAGGAACAAACAATCTTTATTTGATAATAAAGATTGTTTGATAATAAAGATTGATTGTTGCAAAAACCAAAACACCAGTGCAATACATCCTATTAATTTAATAAGCTTAGTCCTCGTAGACAAGCATTTAACAATTTGTAACATTTATGCTAACTTTGAAAGTTTTGTTTGAGATAAAATATGTTTGTCCCAAGGATTATCTAATGATTTTACATGTACAGGCCATGAGCTGCATATAATATGCCTCACTTGAAGGTTAGTACAAGTTTGTTTTGCATTATTTTTTTAATTAAACTATATTTACAGAAAAGCTCTGAGGTACTACTGGTAGTCTATGGAATATATTGTGTAATCAGTAATTGACACACAATCCTTGTACCTTGAACCACCAGAAAAAATTTTTGGAATTTTTTTAAAATGACAAAATTTAGAATTTCTGTGTTTGAATGCACAATGATGAACACAAGCTGAAAACTACTTGGGAAAGTATCAAACTGGTTTCTTATGTTTTTATTTTCCTTCAATAAACAATTTTTAATGTAATTAAATTTAATCTAAGTTATATAATAGAAAAATAAAATAGTAATTATTTGATACATTTGACAACTTATAAACACACTGATGAACAAAATCCCTAATTTTGGAGAAATAAATTTAACAAACAAAAAAAGAAAACTTTAAAAAATTTATTGTTAATACAGTTCACTGTGTCTGATTCATTATCCAACTATATAAGTTCTTCTCAATGTCAGATGTGATAGCTGTTATGTAATTTGAACATATGTCTATTTAATCCGAATAAAAAATTATATATAAGTTCTCTCAAATTTTGTCATTTATGTGAAAATTTAAGATGATTATGCTTTATCAGCTTCTTGTAATGAAACTTCCTGTTTCTTCTGTTGATAAATTTTCATCTCAGTTGAGATATGAAATTTTGTTGTGCTGTGTTCCTGTGTTCTTTGGCATATTATACTACTTTTAGCTTATATCCAGTAATATAATTTTGCCTTTTTGATCCATTAACTGCATGCCAAATTCTCAATTTTCTGTAGGTGCTGTATTGCTTTCACCTTCTAACAACAATCATTTAATCTATTTACAATGTATTTATAAGCCAACAAACATGGAATATCATCAATTATCAAAACAACCCGTACTAATGATAAGTGACAATCTCACCTTATTATTGTTTATAAACTTTTTCAATTCAAACAAAATTTTATAAACAGATGAATGATTAGTATAGGTATCTCTTGCTTAACGTGCAAAATATGTAGCAGAAATTTTAATTAACATGGCTTTAACAGCTGTCTTTACTTAACATAGATATTTTTTTTGTTAAATAAGGTGTTAGTGAGTTTGCTATTTTCATTTATTAGAAAAAAAATATTTGTTATTAACCGAAATGTTTTCTAGTGGGTGGTGATTGTTTGGTCGAGTACCCAGGTACCTCCGTATTTGATTAATGCAATTTTGTTATACACAGTAGCATCGAGGGATTAATTAACCATGTTAATCAAGGGATACTTGTATTACTGACTATATTACTTATAACAATAAGTTATTTCTACATTATTTCCCAGAATAAGAATAATGAAACTTTGTGTACTGGATCTTTAACACGTTTCATTTTTCCTCCATGACTAAGCCACAATGGTTTTACAAAATATGATGTTTTGATTTTTGAAAATTCAAACATCACATTATATGACACAACTTTTTTGGTTAAAGTGTACCTAGGTCCTAGGTAACCCCAATGGTGGCACTTCCGACGTGTTCATGCTCCCGATGGCCTCCTCCCGGCAGGCTGCCGAGTGTTTAACATCACTAGTTATTGATTCACAGTAGTTCTTGAACAAAATAAAAAAAAAGGAAACTTCTGCTAAAAATATAGTTAATTTAACCTAACCAAAGCACTGCCATTGGGGTTACCTAGGTACACTTTAGCCCTTTATTTTATTATCTCAAAGTTTATCAAATATCTTGCAAAAATGCAGGAAATTTCAACTAGATTTTAACTGTTTAAACATATCTTATAATACAGTATAATATACATTCTACTTTATGATGAACATGCAACTATTTTCATTTGCATACCTAGACTAATAAACATTGGCTCCATTCTTATTCCAAAAAAGACTAATTAATTTTGATGAAACTGTAATAAAAAATTCAATCATTATCAATTCTTAGCTACCAAACAGATAACATCTAATGAATACACAAATATTAATTCACATAAAAACAGCATCCCATTAATCCTTAATATATTATACCTTTATTACAAAACACTTAATTAGCTAACCAACCGATTTATTGGCACATAATACTAACACATTACAAACTAGAAAATTAACCTCAATTTTGTCTATTATAGCAGAACTGATATGTAACATGATTAGATGGGTGGAAAGGAGTGAAGCCTTTTCAAATCAGAGCACCCATAAAAGTTACAAGATTGTAACTGGTAATCAAATACAAGTCAATTAAGTGCAATCCTTTACAGCAACAATCCAGATTTCAGTTAAATTAAATTGTTTAAATTGAAATTTAAATATTCAAGTAGAATTATCAGATATCATTCAATAAAATGGTATTGAATGATATCTGATAATACATTCAACCCAACCCACTTTTAAGCTATTTGCCCCTTTATATATGTATGCAGTATGTGAGCTGATATATGAAAATATTTCTGAATTATCTAAAAATTACTGATTTAATATTGTAATTTTTCCTTTATAAACTTTAAATGTTCTTCTATTTTCTGTTTATCTTATTTAATTCACATAATAAAACTAAAATTCATAATTTAATAAATTCCTTTGGCCAATATAATTGATGATGACTTATCAAATACTTAAAAGTGAAAGTTTAAGAAGGAATTTTATATATTTACCATCTTATAAATCTGTATAACGTTCAATAATTCAAAAAGAATCCACGATTTAAATATTTAAAAGCATTTCACGGCATTACTTTATACAAATTAAACAACTTCGCAACTCTTAAAACCATCTTCTGAAACATTGTCACATCCCCTCGTGCCCCCTGGCGATTAGAAATGGAAAATTTGGAAACATGACCGAAATATTAAATTTTACTGATAGAGATTAGCTATTTTCTGAATTTTTTTTATTAAAATAAATTTTAAAATTTTTCAAAATATATGGAGTCACTTTGGAATTTTAATTAAAATATTAATTTAAAAAAAATAATAATAAATATTTGAAAACTTTCTAATTTAATTTAAGACCAGACGATGTACTATACAGTACAGTAATTATCTGAATTCAAAATGGCGTCCGATTTTTATTAAACGAATATTATTTCCATTCGTATAAATAGAGAAAATGTTTTAAACTGCGTTCTTTAAAATTAAAATAATAATAATAACTGAAAATAAAATTAGTAATACAATTTATTTGTTAATTTATTAAATTTTATATAATATTAGCATCCTCTTAAAATGGGTGAGTTAAGAAAGATATCGAACCTCGTCCCTTATCTAATGTAAACCGCAGCCGGATGGCCAAGCGGGCAAGGTCTCCAAAGCGGGTCGAATTCGAACCCGGGTCTCCAAAGCGGTAGGCTTTGGAGACCCGGGTTCGAATTCGGACGGGTCGATAAATCCCCAGGAATTTTTCGGGGGTGGTCCGACCGGATATATCGGGCCCCGTCCCTCACCACCCGACCGCCCCATTGTGCGCCTGGCCGAACCCATAATGGGTTTGCTAAAAGAAGCTCTCTTAGTGCCCACAGGACGGAAAGAGTTAAAAAATAAATAAATATATCTAATGTAAATCTGGCCGAACCCCTTACAAGCAAAAAAGACTTTTTAGTATCCACAAAAAGACTTGTTAAAAAAATTCATTGAAGTTCCAAAGAGAATTTGAGATTTTAACGGGAATAACCAGCGGGAAAATTTTTTAAAGATGGCGAGGAAGAAAGCCTGGCGGATCCGAATATATAAAATTTTGTACTTTTGGTATGTTGTTTTGGATCCCCAGAACAACAAACTGGTAACTTTACTGTATCAGCCATCTCACCATTACTGATTATTGATAGGCCGCGATTCTTTATGAAGCGATAGTGTAGCCAATTAGAAACTTGTTTCAGTGTGTTCGCCGTAAAGCGCTTCTCGAGTGCTGCATGAAGAAACGCAGAGTTATTTGTATCCATAAACTTCACAACTATATCGTCAGTCGTCTTGCAAACATCAATTTATTTTATCATCGACCACTATATTAAAATACGTCATTGTCTGTCATGACAATTTAACATATATAGATTTTTACAGCTATGGTGAGAAACATTTAAAATTTACAACAACACTGTCGCGTCCTTTGAGATATACTAGTGATGTGACAAAAGAGGCATTTGACATTGACCGGTATCGGCACCCTCGGAATTTGGCAGCACGCGTGCATGCACGCACCGCACGCCTAGCAGGACCGTCTCTGATTCCACTCGTAGGGAGCTATTTGACTAAGTGGTTAACATTAGTAAATAATATAAAATAAATATTGAAAATTATAACGAGATATATCTAAATTAATAGATGTTATATGTTTTTATCAAAGCAAGAATCGGCATTTAGAGGTCACAGGGAATCTATTGAATCTAATAAGAGGTAATTATATTAAACTTGTTTATTTATTAATTACGTCAGATAAATAATCTATTAAAAATACATTTAAAGAATTAACTGATTGCCCTGGAAGTCAACTTGTTACAGAACCACAGCTTCCCTATCATCAAATGTCACGGCACGCCACTGCAACACATTCATACATACAGAAAAAAATTACATAATTTATTTTTTATTTTGCATTTTTCGACGTCTGAAGGTGTCCTGAGCCCAAAAATATAAAAATCTTGGGGGACATTTTTTGACCGATTGCCATACTTCCCCCTGTTATATATAACAGCCGGAAAAGCAAAAATGAGATGGCCTAAACCTAAAAGGCTTGTATTCAGCATTAAATTAATAAAAATTAAAGAAGATCGAGACGGTTTATGTGTCAGCCTGTCTCTCCAGGAAACCATGAATTGAATTGGGCGAGCAACTTTTCACAAATGATCATTGCCGAATATGTCCAGCCCTATTTTTCACCACAAGATGGGTATGGAAATAGTTTCTCTTATCACCCACAGAAAAAAAAAATGAAAGTAATAATAAATGTAAATAATAATGAATTCTTTGCTGGATAAAATAGATAATAAATATCCTAATATATATAGAATATAATTATCGAGGAGGAAATTAAGCAAAGAAAGAAGGATTTTGTTCATATAAAAAATGTAGACTAAATGATCCTACGTGATTGTTTGTTTGTCTGGATAAGGTAAAGTAATAAGAAGACAATTTTCGAAGGTAATCTTTCTTTCATATATATAAAATATAAAATAAACTTAAATAATTAAAGTATTTTTATTATAACAGTAATTATAACATGGTAACTTCATTCTGTTTACTAAAACTTGTATTTTTATGCGCTGTAAAAACTGGAACCGGTTGACATACTTTATAGCTACAATTTACATTTTTATATGTTTAAGGTGCACGGGAATGTTTTAAGTGATAATTAATAAGGTGATTTAAGCCTTAATAAAGATAATTTTTCGTAAGTACAAATATTATAATACTGCTAAAGATTTAAATTATGTATAAATATAAGTAATGAGTAAAGTATGGAAAGTCATTAACAAAAACTTAGTTATAAAATTTAATTTAATTTTAGTTGAAGCTTCAGAGAAAAATTTCTAATTGTTTTTTTGCTTTGGTCTGTTTTATTATGCGATATTTTTTTTTATGGTAGCGTAACTAGAAGCGATGTTAGGGGAACATGAATTAGAACGTGCAAGCCTGTACCAGTGTGAACCTATCCATTACAGCTGTGCCTGAAGAGCAAACTCAGATATTATACATACGTGTGTCACATTCATGTCCTGTAATTAATGTAATTATTTAATTAACTTATTTACAAAAGTACGAGCCCAATTGCCCCGAAATAAATAAAAATACGTAAAACACATACAAATATATAGGCTTTATATTTGTGTGTGTTATACATATGTATATATTATTATTATTATTACTTAGAAAATACTACTTTTCAGAGACATAATTTAGTTATTTCTTCGGATCATTAAGCTTGGAACAACATTTAATATAAGCTCAAAACTTGTAAAACGAGTAACTTTTTTAATGTTTTTCCTTGTAATTTTGTTATGAATAATCGTAGTAAGATAGAGTTTAACGTTTCAGAGGAAAAAAACATTAATATAGGTTATCTTTGTAAATAGATGAAGTAATATAAATTTAATTAAAATCAAGATAATTTAATATAACAAACCATTTATACACACACACATATATATAATACTCTAGTAGCTACATCCACAGTGATACAAGTAGAAGAGAATGTCGGTTTGCATTTTTTAATTCGAGACTCCACGTAATATTGGTTCTATTTACCCTACTGAGAAGCCACAAATTTTTGCATCTCTGCTTTATATACAAGGATTTACAAAATCTACCAGAACGAAAACTTTATGTTTAAAAAGAGGACGTGTGGAAAAAGAAAACATATAGGAGCTCTAAACAACTGAGAATTTATCTCAATGCATTGAATATGGAGAATTTTGTTTCAAACAGTATTTTCTTTGTGTAGTGGAAATAGCAACAAAATTCTTATTTTAAGACAGTTCTTTTCAATTTCCATCCCATGGGTTACTGGACTTTACTTTATATACCCACCAGTGGTCGATTGGATAAAACCTGCTAATACTGGCAGTTTGTCGCAAGTTTGCGCCTCCTTAACTATTTTTGACTCAACACCTATCTTAAAATCTGGTTTCCGAGTTGTCTAACAGAGCCCGCCTCGAGTAATTATTATAAATTCTTTCCTTTGCCATCGCCATCTTTCTTTCTCTGATAAATGCTCTTGTGATCGTGCTTTAATAAATAATATTCTTTACTCTGCTAATGAATAGCCTATCTTCAATACATTTAAATTAAACAATTTCCATAGGCTTAATCTCCATGGCTTCTGCTACACTTCTCTCCCAGTGCTCTGAATCTTTTCCGTTTTCTTCATCTCCATGATCATTTTTTTTTTACAAATATGATCACAATTTACCTCTATTTGACCATCCTCTCACACTCTCTCAACTTTTGATTTACCCCAATCTTTCCCTATAGTTTCTCTTTCAATACGTGTCCATCTCTACGCTTGGCACTGTGCTCCTAGTTACACCTTACCTACTGTTTTCCAATATGCTTTCACTTCTACTCATTACTCTCTACTGTCACTATACCATGTATAACATGGATGATGAGACCACTGTAATCAACACCCAAGAAGAAGAAAGATAGGGTCCGAATTCGGATTTCGTTTGGGGCAGATCTTTAAGTCACATTCTATGTTTATTTATTTACAATATATTAAGTTTATATCGATAAGTTATCCAATTTTCTGTGTATGCAAAATTATTAAATAATTTTCATGTTTTTAGCGAGAGTGGCAACAAAGAAAAATGTCATAAATTAGCTTTAGGATCCGAGTTCGATTACCACTCCGATCTTACAAGTAATTTGCTTGTAGATGTGAAAGAAGTTATAAATACATAGAAACTAACTTAAAACAAGGAATTAAACTTGAGAATTTAGAATAATATAACAACACAGCTTTATCATAAATTACATATATATAAATTTGAAACATTTACATAATTAAAATCTTGTATAGTAACCTCGAGCAACAATTTCCGCTCTATATAATTCTTATGATAATGATTCATTCCCGGTTATCAACAAATCAATTCAATCGTTAATCTTAGTTATTATCTTAAATGATATAAAAGTAGAACAAGAATTGTTATGATAGAAAAGTTTTAATGCCTATCAAAACAGATAACACTTATATATATATTAAATTACATTTGTTTCAATTTTGAATTGTTAATTTATTGTAAATCATATCAACAATAATATTTTTCCTTATATTTTTATTAGAAATACTCATAATAAGATATACTAATTAATACAAATTTTGGTTGATTATCTATTTTTCTTTATTCTTTTGCCCTTTAAGAGGGATCTTTTAGCAAGCCCATTATGGGTTCGGTCAAGCCCACAATGGGACACGAGCAGGGGCCGACATATCCAGAAGTTTCACCCATTCCGAATTCCTCAAAATGGTAGGCTGCCAACTTAACACGTAGGCATCTGCCAAAGGGATACCTGCAGGGATGACTTTCTATGAGAAATTGGTCCCTATTTAGGCATTAGACACATGTGTCTAAAGAAAATTTTACTGGAGGACACTAGTGCAAATGTCTTCAACAGCAACGAAGTAAAATAATAGAGAGGTTGCGGCCGACGTTTTCATCGGGAAAACGTGTACGTCGGACGTTCAGCTCCGTATTCCTGTAAGGCTAGAAGTTTGACAATGACGTTCGGAACGTCGAGCATGATTCCACTGACGTTCCAAACGCCATTGTCAAACTTCTAGCCTTACAGGAATGCGGCGCTGAACGTCCGACGTACACGTTTTCCCGATGAAAACGTCGGCCGCAACCTCTCTAATTAGAAGTAGAAGGCGTGTTACGTGCCAGAAAGTCAGCACGCCATTAGGGAAGCTTTCCCTACGTGCAGGAATGAAAATACCTTGTCACCATCCTGGAGACAGTTTTATGTCGAAAAGTGCTTACCGATAATTATAGCATTTTAATTATTATTATTAAAATTAAAATTAGATAAATTAAAATAATTAAAAATTATTCCATTAAAAAAAAATAACAATAAGATTAATAATCAATTTCTCAAATTACCATTAGAGGGCGGAAAATTCCAAAACAGGAAAAGCAAATGGCGTTTCACTTGACGTTTGTTTCCAGATAAGATAAGAGTTATGAAAAAAATCTTATTAAAATAATGCAATCTTTTATATATTAATATGCATCAAAATACATAAACGAACATGATTTGGTTAGAGTGCCTCATTGAATTTGTCTTTTTTAATAGAAACTGATGTTATTTATGTAAACACAAGCTGTGGTAAACAAACTTTTTTTTTATATATGTTTTGCTTGATCTTTGAATGCTTCTGACATTTTTGTTTTTCTATCGATTCAGATTATATTTATATAATTAGACTTATAATTGAAATGAAGTAAAGCATTTCATGTAAAGTCTCCCATATGTTAGGTATGTGGTATTTATAGTCTTTTAAGTTTATTAATTTAAATCCTTCAAAAATAATATATCCTGCCTTTTATTAATTATATTCTACCTTTAAAGAGTTAGATAGGTTGTTTGTCTGTCTGGCTGTCTGTCTGTTTTCCTTTAAATTAATTGGGTAATGTGTGAACTCTGAATGAGAGATTTACCATCCCCAGAGTTATAAACACTCCATTGTGTGAGTACAAAGTCCATGAAACCATATCTGTATGTGTGACCTTACACCAGATATTCACCTCCAAAGCTCAATTTTTACTATGAATCGGTATACTGCCTATACTCGGTGTTGGTCGAGGTGAGCTATTGCTTGCCTTGACTGATGCGGATAATGGAGCCGTGCACTTTGATGTAGAGTGACGGACGAGCGCCTTGGTCCCACGCCTGCTAAAACTATATAATGTCGAGTACTCCACGAACGGTCAAGTGGGCTACTCAAAGTTGGCATAGTCACCTGGGTTAAATAGTTAAATGTGATAGTCTTAGTAGAGCTACGTGTGACTCGTGGTTGTGTGTGACCTGAAAGTAGGTTGGTTTCGCGGGCTGTTTCTTGCCAAGGGTTGCTTGTAGAGGTATGGCTCCTTTGACTTTTTTGCTCTTGTGGGTTTGGTCTATGGCTCTGATAAAGTCCCAACTGTCTCATTCAGCGATGTAATTTAGCATTTAAAGGAATATAATATAATATGAGAAATAATCTAAACTGCCTTTCACTAGATATATTCTACCTTTAAAGAGTTAGAAAAGTGTCTGCTTGTAATTTAATTTAAAGGCAGACAGACAACTATTTAAAGTTTTTTTATTGATTAATTAATAAAATTGAATTGTTTATAAATAAATAATATGAATTAAATTAATTGTTTTATAGATATTAAAATAAATAAAAGTATAATAAAAGGTTGTAGGTGTATTTGCTTAAGTTATCGGGTTTCGATTGATGTGTATATTTATTGATATAATAAAGTTAAGTTAATCAAAATATTGTGTCAAATATCAAAATAAATACTATAAATGATACAAAAAACATTTTCATTAATTTTATTTTTATATTTAGATATAATATAATACCTAATCATACTATCTGCTAATGGTGGTTAACACTGGTTAGACCAGTGTTTCTCAACGGGGGTGATATCGCCCCCATGTGGGTGTTTTTACATGTTGAGGGGGTGATTAGTAACAATTTATATTTTGTGGGGCGAAAAAGAATTTTCTGGGTGATATAGTAAAACATTATATTAAGAATAATTAGATATTTTATTCGTTATATCGTACAATAATTAAACAAATAACATTATACTAGTCACCAGTCTATTGAATGCAGTAAGAATTTGGCGTTAGCCTTGGCCCTCAGCATTGGAGTTTTGAAGTGAAGGGGGCGATGATTCGTAAGAGGTTGAGAAACACTGGGTTAGACTAATGAATGTAGGCATGTAGGTATTTAGGTATTGTCATGTGTATAATGATCATTCAATTAATTAATGACTATAATGTTGTGTCAAACTTTGAGTCGTCATGTATAAATTTTAAGGAGGAAATGGTGTTGTCGATGGCCTGGCAGACCTTGTTTGACACAACATTATAGTCATTAATTGAATGATCGTTATGCACGTGACAATGTCTATGTAGCATTAAATTTATATTTATAGTTTTGAAAGGTGGTTCAAATTACGTTACTTTAAAACATTTTTACAAATAAATGTTTGTTTCGATAACATTCCATCAGGTAACCATTTTGTCACACCTGAAGAAGAACTCAGAAGGAGTTTGAAAACATTTGTGCAGTGTTCATTTTTTGGATTGTACACACCAGGAATTGGTTCTGTGTCTATTGTACATTTGTTTTTAAATAATGAACATTGCTTTAATTTACTCATTTCTCTAGCACAGTCATTTTATTTCAACATTGATTTTAACAAATGTGATATCACAAATCCTAGAATGCAATTGTATAATGGCATTGTAACATCATTAACTATCCTTCTACAACACATAGCTTAATGGCATTCCTACCTTTGGTAAACCTAAGTGTCTGTTTGGAAATGTTTACTGATTAGTTAGTTGGCAACTGTAAAAGATGTAATCAATATTTGATTGGTTACTCATTAACACGCTGTTCAAGAACGGTGTGTCTTATAGCAAGCAGTAAATCATTGGAAAGCTTTTAGGTGATATTTTTGAATACTAGGTCTAACTAAAACTGGTAAGTATTTCTAAACATATTCTAACTGAGAAAGATCAGACTACATATATTAATTGGTTATAGTTGCTGATTGCTGTTAAGAGACTTATTGTGACTAGAGTATAAAAGAAACAAGAGAGTTTACACAAATCCAATTTAAACTGCTCTTCTTGGAAAAAATGTTTTAGAAAATATATATTCAAACATATAAACTTATCTGTGTACCTTAAAATCTCTATTAATAATTTCAAACATATATTTAAACATACAGTATATATTTAAATATATATTCAAACATATATCCCTTTTATCTTTCATTACTGTAACACAGTAATGAAAGATAAAAGGGATGATCAAAAAGATAAAGTCCGTAACTTAAAAACAAAAGTACCATTGAGTGTAACTCCAATGCAGATAATTAGTAATGATCCAGATTAGTATCAATAAATGGTTAGAATGAATGACTTTTGAACAGATGTGATGTAGCATCCCAAAATGATGACAGAGTTAAAAAAGTGATCTTCCAAAGTCCAAGCAGTTATTTTTGTGGGCCAAATAGATTCACCTGCTGAAATCCATCATCAGCTTAGAAAGGTATATGAAGACTGTCATTATCATCAAAGTTTGCAAGTGAATGAAGAAATGTAAGTGATGAAAATTATAAAGGATATTGAGTAGTTTCAAGTTATGTGACATCCTTGATCAGCCTGAATCTGTTCTCCTCTGATTTTCAAATTTATTCACATTTGAAAGAACATATATGTGGTCATTGTAGTGATAAAGTGAAAGCTGTCATCACCAAGTGGCTGCAGCCATAGAAAAAGGAATTTTTTACAGTGCAACGAATGAAAAAGGAATTTTTTACAGTGCAACGAATAATCTTGTTATGTTTTAAACTGTTTGGGTGATTTTGTGGAGAAAGACACACATAAACTTACAGATAAATCCTGTGGGTTTTAGTTTCCACAATAAAAGTATTTGCCTATTACAGTATTCTGTTATTAGTTTCATAAAATTATTGTCTGGGTGATTTTGAATAGTAATTAAAATTTTTCTAGAAAAAGTGTTAGCTTCCTTATTGTCCATCCATCTACCACATTCTAATCTAGTTGTCACCTTATCTTTGTAAGCTAAGCAATGCATATAAGAAATACTCAGTGAGTGTAATTCTTCTAAGTATATATGTTTTGTAAAATTGTAGAATGATTCTTTCAGTTAACATCTCTGATGTAAGTGCAATTGGTTTTTTGTCTCAAGTTCAAAATTATTCTTTTCATATTTTTGATGAAATTTAATTAATTTTGCATAAATAGATACCAACATTTTACTGAAAGAAAAATCATCTTATTCATTTAAACTTAACCAAATTTCACCAAAACATAGAAATAAGGATTTTATTCATACATCCTTTTTAAATATCGTTATTTTTACATCATTTATTACTCTTATTTTCATTTTTTTTTCATATTTGGATTTTTAGAATCCAAAAATGGATTATAATTTTCTCTATAAAAATTCATGGAAATAGAGTCTCATTTTATGGGACTTTTATTTAATGGATAATTTCAATAAATAACTTATAACTCTAATTTATACATAATATAATTATTTTTAACAATGCAATTTATGTTTCTTATCATATGTTATAAGATAGAATATAAGATTAAAAAAATAACAGCACACAGAAATCAAATAAAAGTATTTAAGCAAAATACTCACATTATTAAAGATTTGAAATGATTTAAATTAAAAATCCATTTTTATGGTTTAATTAATTATTCAAAACTAAACCTATTGACTTTACTTCTATTTATAAAAGATAAAATGCTTAAACAGACATATCCTTTTAAAATTATTGTTTTCCTGATTCCTCTATGATTATTTAAAAAGTTTATTTTTATTAAATTCATGCTAAAAATTTTAAAATAAAATATTTCAAAAGCAAACTGCTAATATACAAAAGAGTACTTTAAACACATTATTTTACTTATGGCAGAAATAGTAGAAAAAGCAGATAATTCATTTCATATCTAAATCTTAATGTATAATCAAAACATGAACAGCACTTATGTGCAATATACATGATGTATTTTTTCAAATTAATTATAGTAATGTATTTCTAATTAGTATTTTACAATTAAATTATCTAAGTATTACAATATAAATAACAGAAATGATAATGCTTATGATAAATTACTATTAAAAATGGTCACTGCTTGATCACTAGTTAACATTGTCAACCACTTAATATAATCAAAACCTGTTTTCAAATCAGTTCTATATTTCCTGTGTAAAATCTTGCCAGTTATTGTTATCAGATTAACCTGTTTGCAATTGACTGGTTGATTATCCCTATTTTAGAATAAATACATGCCCTGTAAGATGACAGCTTCTGGTTATTGTTATCAGCTGATTATTATTATCAAAACAATCTTGATCCAATATGATTACAATAAGCAAAATCACAGTATTATATATATAACTCTATTANTGGTCTAAACCATAAGTTCATATATAGTTAATTGAAGTCTCCTGTCCTTAAGCTTTCTGTATATGGTCTATCTAACATTATTCTCAAGATTAAGGATGGATGGATGGATGACAGTGGGAAATTATAGGTTTCCTGTTTTTTCAAATTGCAGTCCAATAAGAAAATTTACTCAGTTTCTGATATTAATTAAATGTATCTTTTAATAAAATTAAGAAGTTTAAAGTTAATTAATCTTTTTAAAGTTGGAGAGGAATTATAAGTATAATGTAACCACAGCTCTTAAACAATGCAGCCAGTCTT